CATTCCCCCTCACCTGCTTCACTCCGCCCTTCTCCTCTCCTGCTGTTCATCAGCTCATTTGGTCTTCAGTATTTATACCAATCCATTTCCACTACTTCCCTCCAGATTGTCTTTTGTTATTCTTAACCAAGCTTTCTCACATTCTCTTGTTCTGCCTGTATTGACCTCACGTTTGCCTTCTCGGATTTTGGATTCCTGCCCGCCCCTGGTCGGGTTTGTTTGCCTCTACGACTGGTCTCCTGGTTTTGACCCTGCCTGTTTGTGGACTAAGTAAAATGATTTTCCCTCTAAACTTGCCTTGTCGAGCTTTTGGCTTCTGTGTTGCCCGGACCAGTGGTCGTGACACTCTCATTCACATTAATGACAACATGCTGCTGCTTCATAAAGACACAGTGACTTCAGCTCTAAACTCTGACAGCTCCACCAGTGGCTCCATCCACACAAACACATGCTGAGCAGAATGATCATTTATGTTATGATGATCAATATTTGAGGTGTGATTTTTTCTAATTTTCCTGATTCTATCCACTATAAAACAGAAAGTATGTAAAATTATTCAAATGTCTTCAGTAAAAAAAAAGTATCTTCATTTTCTGAGTGCCAAAGAGCTGGAGTCTAAATCTGTTCCTTTAATGTGTTCTCAGAGCAGTGATGTCATCAGTTAGGAGGATGGATAGAAACTCAGTGGGATCAGCATTTGTCAAACCTCTGTCTCATTGGTAGCCAACTGGTTTATCATTGAGCCTAATCCACCCCTCAGACAGCTGAGTTTGAAATATTCTTTTTAAAAATCAACATCACTGTAAATAAACCCGTTCAATGCACAAGTCAGAGCACCTCTGCATCATTTTGACAAACAGCTGCCACACAGATCTCCTCAACCTGTGCCATGAATAAAGGGAATCACTCTGTTAACCCCAAAGCAACGACTCACTAACACATGAGAGCAGTCTGGTGGTGGAGAGGAGGAACATGAAGAATGAGCTCTGTAGGAGCTGAATGTCAAACATTATTATTGAATGTGGGTTCTTGTAAATAAATATTTACCTAACAAAACAAATAAAAATCATATTTAAACAA